AGTAAAAACTAAACAGGTTATTTTCAAATATACCTCTTTGGTAGTAAAGGAACAATGGAAAACATTACCACAAAACAACTTAAAGTTGTTTGAATACTTAATAATGTCCCTAAAACCAAAACGTTTGCTTAGTTCAAGTTAAAATAACTTGCAAACTAACTATATCGTTGAATTGCAAATCGGAGTACTAAGGCACCATAACCGGTGGCAATGTATACCATACATATCATACAACTAGAGTTGAATGACCGGTAGACCACGCCCCACAGACACGCCCACTTTAAGCTCCGCCTACTCGGAATTTCGTAGTAAATTTTAGTATTTGACGACCATTAATTTTAGATGCCTACAATTCTATATTGTTAACTCAGGTTATTTTTTACAAACTATTATTGAAGCGTAGTTTATTTTACTAATGGATGGATGGATGTTTATTATAAGATATCTCCAGAACGGCTGCATAGATCTCGCTGAAATTCGGCATAGACCTAGAACATAGTCTGAAAGAACGCAAAGACTATTAATTAAGTTTTTTGTAATACCACGCGGACGATGGCACGGGAGACAGCTAGTTAAACCTATAAAGTATTTACTTTACTAATTGTTCATTTCAACGATTTTTTCTCATATAATTTATTATTTATCAAATCGAAAAAATTGGTAGAGTCAATATAAAACACTTGACATATATTTTTTAAGTAAAAAATATAAATATTTTAGTAACTTTGTATGAAAAAGAAGGTACAAATAAATTATTATCTGTCGGCCGGAATTCCGTCCGCGTGGAATTAAAAAAATACGGAATTAGTAGTATACGTGTTCTTCCAGACTATGTTCTACATCCATGCCAAATTTCACCAAGATCCGTTGAGCCGTTACTGAGATACCTTCAAATAAACATCCATCCATCTAAGCATTTATAATATTAGTAAGAAGTATTCATCAGCCCTCTAAACAATTGCACGTGTTTTTCAATCGAAAACGCCTTCCGTCATATTCCAAAAATGAGGTGTTAGACAAAACACATTCGTTCTGTGTGAATTCCATAACGAACTTCAAAAATGTTTTAACTGTACAAAAATTATCAATAAGTCACTTGATTATCGCGCGTCAGTTCCATACATTTTTGAAGTTCGCTATGGAGTCCACACAGAAGACAGGCGTGAAGTGGAAGCAATTCCGCGTTTCGTCTGATGAGTATGCGTCTCGGAGGCGTAATTTAGTTCTCTTTCCCTTGCCACCCTTTTTCTTATAAGGATAGGATGGGAAGTGGAAGGGGACTTTCCGCATGAGAGGATGCATGGAAAGGGAATATATTTTCTTTCTATGCATCCCATCCTCCGTCGATTAAAGGTAGGCAACGCATATGTAATTGCGTATGTCTATGGGCAACGGTCACTTCGCTATTTCAGTTATTTCAGGTGGCCGCTCTCTCGTTTGCCACCTTATAATAAAAAATAAAAATCGTATCGAAGCGAATGCACTTTGTCAAAACCCCGTTGAAAGGATTAAAAATAACTTCCAGCCAGTAACGAAGCTAAAAATAAAATAACTTTCTAATTTAATCGATATTTGATTTAAAAGTTATAAACTAAACAAAACGCTATCGTGTTCATTTGTTCGCAAACGTAAATGAATTCGAAAAAAAAGTGAACAAAAGAATCGATTTTTTGCACAACCGTTTAAAATCGAATATTCATTAGGGATATCAGTTTAAGCATTCCTACAAACAAAAGGTAGTTGCCACATTCATTGGTTTCTAACTCGGTATAAATCATTTAACGTTTGTCGTTGATTTAAAGTTTTGCTGATAGCTGTATTTTTTTTTAGACTTGAACGTCTATAAAGAAAAGACATCGCGTGCGGCCACGCACAGTGTTGTCATGTCGACTTTGTGATAAATAAAATGGGTTAAAACATTACTAATATTATAAATACCAAAGTTTTCATGTATGTATGTTTGTTAAACGGCTAAACGAATCGCAATTAAATTTGGCATAGCTGTAAAACATAGTCTAGATGAACACATATAGACTACAAATTAAGTTTTTTTTAAACGGAAAAATGTACAATAATTAACAATTTTAAATAAATATACATTTAGATTTCCATATTCTTTTAGATTTTTCATTTTTGATTTGATAAAACCAAATATGGATAGATTTCTTACTTTAACACCTTGCACATGTAATTATCTATTACAACTTAAGTTATACAGCAAGTTAAAGTAAAAAAACTACATTGAGATGTCACGTTTGACACGAAGTTAAATTGAACGTCCAGCGCTTACTGAATTGGTTATCGCAATTTGAAAATCCGATTGATTAACGAAAACGTCTCTATTTAAATTGTGTAACCATAAAAAATATTAATAGTACATTTCAAGATTCTATTCAATTCTTAAATATCAAATTTTACTGTAATAGAGGCAACATTACATCGGTCAGCTCGCCTGGTGAAATACCACGACCACGTGGAACAAGACAGGCGTGAAGTGGTAGAACTCAGGTGGGCACCCAAAACAATTGTCCAAACACAAGATCGGCGAAAATTCACTGAGCTGACGGCCAACCTCCATTAAATGGAGAGGCACCTTGAGAGAGAGAGAGAGAGAGTGAGTGAGGGAGAGAGAGAGCCGAAATCAATATTAAAAAAGTATCGCAAATATCCTTTTCGTACTGTTTCCGTCATGTTATTTTTTTCTTTTATACCATATTCCATGCCTAAGTAGGTTTTACATATTTACAGCCAGAACTATTTACGATAGATAGGGCCTCTTACCAAATTTAGAACTTAAGGTACGCGTCCATTGGTTCGCGCCGGACGCATCTCACGCACGACCCGCGACTGAATTTAGTTTGCTTTGTATAATTTTACAAAGCGCTGCGTACATCATCCGCGTCGCTCGCATCATTAAACATAGCAAATCAGTTTGATCCGTGCGTAAAGTGCGGGCAGTGTTCGCGTACCTTTATTGTTCGTTTAATTTGATAGAGGCAAATATGCGTACTTGACAAGTCCTGTCTTTGAATAGTCAAAGAGAATGTTTAGTTCAGAATTTGCTCGTAGCTCTTTGGATTGTGTACTAAATAATGGACGAATAAGTTTTTACTATCAATAGCAATGCTAATCAGATGTGTATTGACCATGCAAATTATGTTCCATAGCCATTAATTGCGTCTGCCCACCGCGCTCGGCTGATCACTGACATTTTGCTACCGTTGCCTTTGAGAAGGGAATGCTTCGAGAATTATCCTCACTTTTTACATTACTTAAAAGACATTAAAGATGAAATATAGCTGGTTAAATTTTAAGATAAAAGGAGACAGAACACTAGCTGTCGCTCTCGACTCCGTTCGCACGAAATAAAAAAAAATACTAGAGTATGTGTTCTTCCACTGTTCTACATCTATGTCAAATTTGAGCTAGGTCTAGGCAACTGTATCCCCAGTACCTTCTAACAAACATCCATCCATCCATCCAAATATTCACATTTATAATGTTAGTAACATTTTTTTTTAAATACTAAAAAAACTGACATATTAATTTGTATCTATGTTTTACGGAGTTTTAATCCAAATAGAATATTTTTCGCAAAATTAACGGGACACCGACACAATGATAAGTAGTTATAACGCAATTAGTTAATAAAAATAATAAAAAAATAAAAAAAATGTTTTATAAAATAGAACTATCACGCTCCTCGCTTACGATCAATCGCGCTATACTCGGCGAGAACAAAACACGAGCGGGGTACGTTTAGAACGGCGACGTGTTGCTATAGCAAAGGGACTGGCGGTGACGTCACATACGAATCATCACGCCAGCAGTGACGTCACCATCCTGCCACTGTCACGGAGTCATTCCATTGCGACTATATGGTCAAACAATAATCATGAACATCGTTACATTTAATTTAAAATGCCATACAAAGGTATACTCTAAAAAATAACGAAAAATCTGCTAATTACCTTTAAAAGAACAAGAGCAAAGAGATAAAATAAAATTAAAATCTATATACTTTGGGGAACTAGAAGAAAATCTCTTACTAAAGTTTTCTTCAATCGAAATTCCCGACATTAAAACATGAAAAAACATTATAACTGTTTAATTTTTAAAGAAAACAAGATTTTTATAAAAATGTTTTCTAGTATGTATGTTTACAGTGGAAACGTGCAGCTAGACATAAGTCAAAACTCCTACGCTTACGCTAAAGTAATAATCGACTATTTCCAACACGAATTAAAAAAATGATTCGAGGGTACAAAAACTAATAGAAAATTCCAAATTCAAATTTATATATAAAATCCATACTATTTAAAATAATCTCATTATATTATTGATAATGTTATTCTATTCGTTAAACTGCTGGCATAGTAGTGATATTAAAAACTTTAAAGTTTGACATTTAACCAAAATCGTATATGTAACGCCATTATCAAAATTATCAAAAATTAAAAAGAAAAAATGAAATATTTACCTTATATACAGATGAAAATAGATGGTCGTTGTCCATTTTATACAATCATATAATTTTATAACAGTATTATTTACGAAACAAATGCTTAAATACGACATTTTGATATTGTCTAGTAATCTCCGGCAATATGTGAACCCCGGAAGTGTTGCGTTCTAAAACTTGAGAATTCCTAAGACATTTTTAAAACCAAAAAATTATCAAAGATAAATAATTGATTTCTTAAATTATGGTAAAAAATTTAATAGTATTATATTTGATTAGTTTATTCGTTTTTTTTAGTTTAATAAATGTAAAAAATGTGTTAAATATTATAAATTGCTATTTGAAAATTTTAACCAATGTAAAGAAAATTGTTTTTATAAAAAGTTGGATAAAAATATATTTAGTAGTTTAAATTTTTGTTTTAATTAATAGTTTTCAATTTAAAACATATTATGTTGGTTTTATTTCTTAATTCAAACTTTTAAAAATAGATTTATCGATTTCTGAACGTACTCGTCTAGGCCGCGCCTCCGCGTCGACGCTGATACATTTTCAAAATGGCGCTCTATATACACTTATTTACTGTGTTCTTTTCATGTATTATATATTAAAGTGTGCGTTACTAACTTCATTAGATTGTTTTGTGTATGTTATAATATAACATATAAGTGTTGATATTATCAAAGAAACTCAGCGTTATTTTCGTGAACGAAGGTAAGTCTATGTTGTTTTAATATTTTAACAATTGTATAAATATCTTTAATTAATGTTAATATCATTTCTTAATATGTGTTTTTTTTTTTTTTTTTTTTTTTATAAGAGAAGGGGGCAAACGAGCGGCGGGAACACCAAGGTGATCATCGACACCCATGGACATCTGCAACACCAGAGGAACTGTAGATGCGTTGCCGGCCTTTAAGGAAATGGTATGCTCGCTTCTTGAAGGTCCCTAAGTCGTATTGGTTTGGAAATACCGCCGAGGACAGACCGTTCCACAACGCGACTGTGCGAGGCAAGAAATTGCGCGAGAATCGCACCGTTGTGGAACGCCAGCCATCCAGGTGGTGTGGATGGAACCTGGCGGTCTGTCGTGTCGTCCGATTACGGAACTCGGCGGCAGGAATCGTTCCAAACAATTCTTCCGAACACTCCCCATGGTAAATGCGGTAAAAAATGCAGAGGGAACTAACGTCCCTCCGCAAGGCCAGGGAATCAAGCCGATCGGTAAGACCTCGGTCGTTGACGATTCGAGTCGCTCTCCGTTGTATGCG